CGTCTTGAGTCATCCTTTATTGATCCAACAGAAATGGCCCATCTCACATTGTGCTGCTCTGAATCAGTACTGAGGTACTGGTCACTTAATGGCTGCTCCTTTCCTGAATCCCTAACCCAGCTTCATTGTCACCAGACCCTTAGGAACCTGTGTCCAGGAACTCACCTCTTGTTCTCTGCTCTAAATCTTCTGTCAGTAGTTGCTTGGATTGTGCAATCTCCAACTGGTGAACTGCTCAAGTTTATTTTTTTTCTATGTTGAATGTGCTTTTATCTTTGTAGGTTCTTGGCATGCACCTGTTTGTTAATTGGTGAGTGCTTAAATTATCATTTTGGCTCCATGTAGCTGTCACAGATTTTCTGAGAATTGGAAGAGAGCTTTGGCTGCCATTTAGTCTGCATGTAGAGATGACCATAACTTAACTTGAAAGGGAATTGGTTAAGGATTCACCTTCAACATCCACTCCCTCCATCACTGACGCACAGTAGCAGCAGTGTGTACTATCTACGAGATGCGCTGTAGAAATTCACCAAAGATCCTTAGACAGCGTCTTCCCAACCCATGACCACTTCGATCTAGATGGACACGGGCAGTAGACACATGGGAACACTTTTACTTGCAAGTTCCCCTCCAAGCCACTCACTATCCTGACATGGAAATATATCGCTGTTCCTTCAGTGTTGCTGGGTCAAAATCCTGAAATACCGTCCCTAACAATATTATGGGTGGCCCTACAATCCCCAGGAGGCGGTCTTGCAATAAGGCCTCTCACCATCGCCTTCTGAAGGACAGTCAGTTAGGGGCAATAAATGCTGGCTCAGCCAGTGACGGCCACATGTAATCAGTGACAATAGAAATCTAGCTTCTGAGTTTGGAGGGACTGGACTAACCAGAGCTGACGATGACTCTCGTGCGATTTCTGTGACTGTGTCAGAATGTGGGTGCTGCGTGTGTACTTAATGTTTGATTGTGGGGGACTCTGCGATTTCGCACACCCCAAAATAAAAGACGCCTTCAGGTCCAACGTAAACTTCGACCAGAATTTAGTCCACACAATGCAGGGAAACGTGTTGTTTGCAAACCCGCCCTTTATTTGGATCCCGTGTTCTTCCAAAGTCCAAATGTTTAAATGAACTGATTCCGTATCAAAATGTTGGAAGGGAGCAGATTCCGATATATCTCCTGAGAGTTCAGTGCAGTGGCTGCTGAGCAGAAGCTAAGTGCTTGGGAAAGGGATTATTTGATAGTAGTATTTCCTGCAGCCCTGAGTGGCGTCTAAAGGAGCCGAGTGAATGATGTTTGGCCCTTTGCTGTTTTTGTGTGGTTATTAGGCAGTGTTGTCAGAGTTATTTTAGGGAACTGTTTGTGTGGGCAGCTCCTCACAGTCTGTTTTGGACTACCCCTGCAGTCAGTTTGCAGCCACTGTGTAACATTCACGTGTGTGGTTCCTGGGTTGCTGTTGGCTCAGCCCGCAGTTGCTGAAGGAGCCCCACGGCTGTTGTTTTGGAATCGCCACCGCGTTTTCCTGGAACTGGTACTTCGTCCTAACGTACCAGGAGATTTACCAGGAATCTCGAAAGAGAGAGAGAGAGAGAGTGATACAACCGGATTGAGAGATGTGTTTACCAAGGTCGAAATGTTTAAGGAACAGATTTGTCGGATGCATCGTAACTGACCTCGGGGAGGGGTATGCTACCGCTGAACGATTTGCTGGACTTGAGGCTCAGCCGCCCCTGGCTGACCAAACCCAGTAGTCTCACAGCCCCTTCCTACCACGCAGGGACGTGGGGAACTTGTGGGGGTTCGCTTCAACAGAGTGGGGGGAGGCTGTGACACCCTCCGAGAGTAAGGACGGAGAAGGAGGCAGAGTGTGAGGGAGTGAAGAAAGAGAGATAGGAGGCACAGAGAGATAGAGATGACGGGAGAGGGAAGGACAGGGGTCGGGGGAGGGTGTGGGAAGAGAGAGAGAGATACAGAAGGAGGGAGTGTCTAAGAGGGAGACCCCTGGGAGATTCAGAGGGAGAAAATAAGACTGCCACAGTGAGGCCAGGGAGCGAGGAGACCTCGATTCTGAGGGGAGGGAAGTAAGCACAGGATTAGGATAGCATTAGAGTTAGGCCACTTGGCCCATTGACGCTGTGCAGTCAGTATCACTCCCTGCCTCTTGCCTCTTCCACCCCCCAAATTCCCGCAAATCTTCTCCCCCAGCCATCCACTTCCAGAGGTTCATGATTGAATTTGGAGTTAAGCAGCAGCTTATCGGAGAGTCTTTCAGACCGGAATCGGGTATTAGAATAAACAGTCCTTACTCAAGTCGCATCTGGTCAGCGAGCAGTGAGAGTGAAGGGGCGGGAGAGATACGATGTGAATGAGGCTCCTGTAGTAAATGGAGGGGGGGGGTGCAGTGATAGAGGCGAGAGGAGAACAGTGAAGGTTAGACCGAGGGATGAGTAACCGCAAGGACTGCATATGAGGGACGGGTGTCCCTGGAGGGGTGGAGTGAGGCGAGGGTGCAGTGAATGCGACCCTTGGGAAGGAGAATGAGATTTAAACTGGGAAGCCCCAGTTAGTGAGAGGACGGAGTCAGTGGCGGCCCTGGCTGGAGTGAGTGAAGACAATCAGTGGAGAGGGAGGGGCGGAGGGGGGGGGGGCCGGGGGGGGGGGTCGGGGGGGTTTGGAGGGGGGGGGCAAGGACATTCCAGGTTGAGGGGGTGGGCCGGGCAGAGAATTCCTGAAAGGGGGGGGTGGGTTTCTCGAGGGAGGGGTTTCCCTGCGTAGTGGGCGGGGTGGGGTTTCCCCTCGCGTCATTACCTGTGAAATGTTGAGTCTCCGTCTCCTGGCAGCAGCTGTAACTAAGCGCGGGATCAGCCAATGAGAGGCCGGGGGCGGGGCTGAGCAGGAGCAGGAGCGGGTCCCAGCCGGGGGTGGGGGGGGGGCGGGGGGGGGGGAACTTGAGGAGGCGGAGCAGCTTCATAAACAGGAGCATCTCTCCGGGACCGGCTTCATAAACAGGAGCATCTCTCCGGGACCGGGACACAGCACCAACCCGGGGCACCGGGAGACAGCACCAACGGGAACGGGAAAAGCAGCTTCACAAAACAGGAGCATCTCCCGCTGTCCACATTCCGGGTGGTTCCGAATCGCCTTGCAGTGGCAGAGGAGCGACCGGCATCGGGAGACCGTCTGGTACTGCACCTTCTCCTCTGGTAACAGGTGTGCCGGGGTCGGGGCAGGCGCTGTAACTCGGGAAGGGGTCAAGGGCAAACTAGCCCGGGCTGGTGTGTTCGGGAATGGTCTGCAGCAGGGAGTGTAGGCTCGGTGTGTGTATGTGTGAGGGTGAGTGGACACTGACTGCAACAAGGACTGACTAGATTGTAAATTGCAGGTTTGATACTGAGTTGTGTACATTTCTCGGTTTGTGATTCTCAACAACCCAGCCCCCTGCCAGACTCCTTGAGAGATTGATCAATTTGCATTGTTTATAATCTACCCCAACCCGGCCCCGTGTCAGTGAGAGGCTGACAGCGTGCAACACGGATTAATTCAAAACATCAGCAACAGGGATGGCCAAGGATATCATTTACACAGCGGGGAGAAGTTTGGCACCACAGGTGTGTTACTTCTGTTTTCATAACATTTGAACAATATTTAAAAACGCAATAACATTTTACAGTCAGCTCAACATTCTCCTTTCAGTGCGATGCCCAGATAAAGATCCGTCTTTAGTACCCTGGAACCCAGGACATGATGAGAGGCACAAAGTTCAAATTGGACGTGGGACGTTCCTTAAACTGGAATCTTCAGCGACTGTACATTCCATCATCATTGAGGATGGGGGTGAGTTTCAAATCGCCGGTTAACTTCTAAAACTTCATTAACGTTTTGCCCCTTTTTTTGAAATAATCTAATCGATGTTCGTGAATTTATTTTAAGATATTGCTTGTCGCTGGCAGACATAGCTCCCGGAATTAAAATGGGAAGCGTAACCCTGCTCTAAACTGCTGCTTAAGGCACTGAAATTCTCCTGGAGTTTCAGGGACTTTAAGATATTGAAGTTTTCGCTGTTGGGACTTGTAATTCCCGCACCCCCCCCCCCCCCCCCCGGGCCCTTCTGTTTGCCCATCGCTGACCGTGTGGGTATCACTTCACAGGCAAACTGGTGTTCAGCGACACGCCGAGGGTACCCATCACTCTGAGAGCCCGCTATATTGTGATCAGGAACGGCGGGGAGCTGCACATTGGAGCGGATAAGTGTCCCTATACTTCCAGGGCCACCATCTCTCTGGTCGGCAGATCAACAGAGGGTCCACAGGTGGAGCAATTCGGCAAGAAGTTTATCGGTGTGGACAGAGGAGGGGTCTTGGAGCTGCACGGCAGGAGGAGCTTGTCCTGGACGCTGCTGAGCCGCACTCTGTACCCGGGCGGTTTGCAGTATGGAGCCTATCGCTACGACAGGCGCCGGGGCAGCAGGGGCTTCAATGTCCGGGTAATAGACCCCGGCACCGCCAGGCTGCTGCGGGCCGACCGTTTCGACACCCACCTGTGGGCGAACGAGAGCCGCCGGCTGCAGGAATTTCTGCGCTCCCAGCCCAGGGGGCGGATCGTGGCGGTAGCGGTGGGCGATTCGGCAGCTCGGAGCCTGAGCGTGTCCGCCAGGAACGATCTCCAAGAGCTGCTGGGCAGTGAACAAGCCAGGCATCTGGGATATAGGTGAGGCGCCTTTCTATTCTCTAACCGCTGGAGCTATCAAAGATGCTGCTTCTGTTATTCTATTGTAAGCGTCTTAGACATTCAACTGCCTGTACAGGGATGTTATGACACACCTCTGAAGCAGGTGGAACTTGAACCCAGGCCTCCTGGTTTGAAGGTAGGAGTACTACCACTGTGCCACAAGAGCCCCCTCAATGTGAGTCGGTTCCACTGAACACGCTGTCCTGTCTTCTTCCATGATGTGGAAACAGCTGTCTCCCAAGTCTGTTTATAAACAGTGAGATATTTAAAGTAGCTGGGAGGGAGGTGGGATGTGGGTTGCAGGTATTTCACTTAACCTCGGCCAGCACTGCACCCAGAATCCGAATTCCAGCGAGCGCACTGCGGGCGGTTGTCTCTGAGTCAGTACCTATGTTTGCACCCTGTCACCCTGAGCACTGCAATCCAGGCTGCCTTCAGGTAGTACAGAGGGAGCGCTGCAATGCTGGCGGTGCAGGCTTGTGGATAGTCATTTTGAAGGGAACCTCTCCCCTGTTTTACTGGGGTGGATGTTAAAATGCTCGCATGGTACTGTTTCTCAGACAGAAAGTGGGGGTTGGGGGAAGAGTGAGAATCACCCCTGCTATATTGTCAATATATACCCTACAATCAACACGAGTTTTTATTTAGTTTGCTGAGGGTCTGTTAGCTGCTGCATTTCCTACCTTACAACAAGCGTACGCTTCAACAAGTACTTCATTAGCGTGGGGGGAAAGTGCGAGTCTTTCGATTTCCTTTATCACTGCGTGTCTGACCGAGACTCCGTTCCCGTACCGCTTGAAACCAGCAGCAGGGAGCTGGGGAAGATGGGTCCTGACCTGTACAGCAGGAAAATGTTCCGTCAACTGGCAGGAGAGATCAGGGCAGGCAACAGGCTTGGAGAATGTCGACAGAAATGTCTGTTTGAATACCAGAAATGAATAAATTCCCCTGAAAGGTCTACACACTGTCACTGTGACGGTATGGAGCAGGGGAACGAACTGATTCACTCGCTCTGCAGGGATTTGACTCTCCTGAAGTAATGGGTGAAATGTGTGAATTAAATGAGCAGGTTCTTGTCTTTCCCCTCACCCTCGCCGCTCTTGCTATTGGCATGGCGGGTGAGGGGGGCGGGGGGAGGTGGCGTTGGCGGTTTGTCTCTTTGTCCATCCTATCGCTCGTTCTCGCCTTGTTGACCTTTTTTAAACCAGCATAAGATATCACATTTACATTGTATTCATGTACAGGTGAAGTAAACACTTTTTGATATGTAGGCTAAAACATGTGTGAACACGTTTGACACGGGATCTTAATGAATAATTGCAACTTGATGAATATCTTCTGAACGGGGTTGGGATTTTTATGATTGAGACAATCTTTGGCGTTATCCGGGCCACAATGTCTTCATTCAGCAGATTTGGTTCAGCGCCAACGGGATATGTAGAGGCATAATTTAATGATAACAATAAGAGCCACCATGGACAGCTCCCCAAATCCTTTTGAGGGTAACTGGCTGGGTTTGTTGAAGGGACTCGTTATATAACAAAGGCAGCAACCGAAACAAATAAACTCCACATCCAAATCGAGAGAGAATCATAGAATGTCACTTTCAGAAGAGCTGTAACTGTGTATAAAGCAATTGTGGGCACATAAACAATACATTGTAAATCGATTGTGAAGCTAAGCATATTTGGTCTCATCTTTGACAATCTGGATGTTGATGTGCTTCAGGCAGCCTTGGGCTATCGTTGGAGTTATTCGTGCATCCGAATCATTCGTCGTGGAAGATAGACGATTATATCAGCCTAATGGATCCACTGGTATGGCCATAGCAAGGAGAGACTTTCAGACATATGATGGGACTCCTTTTACAGTTACTGCCTTCAGTGAGTGGGTTCACGGTGAGTCCAGACATAGCTTTCTATATATCTGCAGTGCTTCTCAAAGCTCAGATTGGGCCTTTTATTACACATCAATATTTGGAATAAGTCAATGCTCACTGAAATGAACCTAAAATTTCACGTCTCTGGCGGAATAAATAATGACATTTTGCATTTGTAAGACAGATATGTCAAAGCACTCAAATGCTTCTCAGGGGGTGTTTAGGCAAAATGTCATACTAAGCTATAAAAAGAGATATTAGGCCAGTTATCCTAGAATGGTTTCAGCACAGAAGGAGGTTATTCAGTCAATCAAGTCCCATGCTAGCCCTGTGCAGGATTCTCACTAATGCATTTTGTTCTTGAAAGATAATCCAATTTTCTTTTAAAAGGTGTAATTGAATCTGCCTCCGTCACACTCAGCCTGTGCCTTCCAGATGCTAACCACTCAACGGAGAAAGGAGTCCTTTTTTTGGCAATACCTTAAATCTGGACCCTCTTGTTCCTGACCCTCCAATCAATGGGATCAGTTTCTCTCTAGCTACTCTCTCCTGTCCCGTCATGATTTTGAACACTTTTTTTTTTACCAAATTTCCTCTCCACTATCTCTCTTCTTAGAGCAGCCATAGCTTCTTGAAAGCATGCACTGTTATTCCAAAGAAACCAATAGCTTTGAAAATATATATCTGAATTTCCAATGGTCAACTTGAAAAGGAATTGCAACACAGGTCACACTTTAAGACTTTTACTGTAACAAACAAAGACAACATTAACTAAACATTACTTGGTAGGTATCTAATACTCGACAGAAAAGCTAGCCTTTATTAATGTCTTACTCTGACTGATTACCTTATGAGACACTTTCCACAGGATTCCAGGAACAAGTCCAGTTACTCTGCTACCAATATGTTCACATCTTCTCATTTCACTGAGCTAGATCATCCAATGACTGTTGTGATGATGCTGTGGCTTTAAAAGGTTTTTCTTTCTTTTTTTTTTTTTTTGGAAGACATTTTAAGACAAGTACCAAGCTGTCTCATTGGAAAGCCAGTAAAATAAACAGCTTATGAGGCCTTCGGTTTTTTTTTTTGTAAGCAGTCTAAATGAATGTGGTTAAGCTCCCACAGAACCAGGATTTTTGCTTTAGCTTTTCGCAGTTGCTGTTGGGGTCTTGAAGACATGGAAGTTATTGTTTTGTCCCTCTCTTGGTTACTAGGGGTGGTTCACTGCCTGCTACCGGAGGTCCAAGTGAGACAATCTATTTTCTGAATTTGCCTTTGTGCCAAGGTGTGTCTATGGGTTGTTACTGTATTGGAACACGTAATTAGTAATACGTACAGTATCTAATATTCTGTTAAATTTTTTCAGAGTTAAGTTATTCCAATTCCCTCTTTCCTTTGTTGTATTTTAACTATAGTAGATGAATAAAGCATGTTTTGCTTTAAATCTCGTAGTTTGACCAATCGAATTGCATCTGGAGTGCAACACCTTACATTTACCTCTTAAAATAAGAAAAAGTTAGGGTCTAGACACTATCTTCTGAATATTTTGAGGGGTTTTGGTCTGGTCCATAACACCATAAAAGGTCCTTCCAATCAGTCCGTTGAGAATTTATGAACATCTTCCATCAGTATAAGAGGAAAAGCAGGATACTAACACTGATCCCCGGGAATCTCTCTACAACATTCCTTCCTCCGGTCTGAAAAACAATTGTTCACCACTACATCCTGTTTCCTGTTATTCAGCCAATTTCATATCCATGTTATTGTTCCTTTTATTTCACAAGTTCTAATTTTTTTTTGTAATAACACTATCAACTTCCTTTGGAGTCTGTGTACGTTCCATCAAAAGCATTACCCTCATCAACCCTCTGTGTTCCTTTATCAAAAATCTCAATGCTAGTTTTGAAATTTTGCAACACAATTTGGCCTAAATAAGTCAGTCCCAGCTTTCTTTAATTAATCCATATTTATCTAAGTGACTATTTAATTTTGTCCTGGATCGCCATCATTGCTAAATGTTGCCCCACCACTAAATTTAAACTGACTGGCCGGTAGTTGTTGCACTTAACTTTGTATCCTGTTTTGGAAAAGGTTTGCAATTCTTCCAAACCCAGCACAGTCCTTTTGTATTTTTGGAGAGTTACCTGTGATCCTCTGTATCCTTGAATACATCTTGTGTGGTCTTGATGCCTTATTAAGTATATGCAGCTATCTAATACCTTATTGATTTAAAACCAATCAAGTAGCTCCACTTCAGCCATGACTTCAGTAGGATCTTCATCCTTCGTAAAGACAAATTAATGTATTACTTATGTCCCCTGCTTCCATATGTAAGTGTGGAAGTAGGTTTTAAGCAGTGATAGAGAGAGGGCTGGAAAGGCCTAGATGTTCTTAGAATTTAGGCAGCTGAAAGCACAGCTGCCAATAGTGGAATGATGAAAACTGGGTAAGGCAAGAGTCCAGAATTGGATGAGTGAAGATATCTGCGGTTGTAGGGCTGAAAGGAATCACAGATGAGGGCATGAAGGGGATATGAAAAGGATGTTTATTTACCTGGCCAGAGTCAATCTAATCACAGGAGTGATGGGTGAAAGGGACATGAACTAGAATGTGGGCAGAAGCGTTTTTGGTGAGCTCATGTTTATAAAGGGTGGGAGGTCAGTCTGGAGAGTGTAGAAATAACCATCTGGAAATAAGGAAGGCAAGGATGAGGTGTTCAGCGCCAGATGCACTGACACAGCAACAGAGACTGGTGGTGTTATGTAGGTGGTCTTGGTGATGGGAGCAGATACAATATCAAGAACTTCAGCTCAGGGTCATAAAGCACAGTTGCTGGATGGTTAGCATTATCCACCTCTGAATACCACGGCAACAATTGATCAGGTTCCGTGAACAATGCTCACACTCCTCCCAGCCCCCTCTTAATCTAGCCCTGAAGAGGAAAAACAGTCAACTCTTTGTTTAAAAAATAAAAGTCCATGTGAATGAGCATTACATTTTAACATTGCAGTTTCTGGCTGGAAATTTAAAAAAAAAAAAATCCTCAATGGTAAATATGTTCGAAAACAACCTCAGTAAACATCAGTTAAATCAAGTCAACTGGCACAGTTATGTATTTATGAGCTCATAAATCTTGATTGATTGTCCAGTAAAGTCGCAGGATTACTGAGATGAAGTGTGATACTCAGGACAGTGTTTATTACACAGAAACAGACCACTAGGTCCAACCAGTCCATGCAAATTATTCAAGCTCTATTTGAGCCTCCTCCCATTTTTACTGAACTGCTTTGATCATCATTGCCATCTATTTCCTATCCCTCATTTTGCCAATCTACCTTTTAAATATATCTATCATTTTTACTCCAAAGACTCCCTGTTCCCAAGCTCAACCACTACCACTTCTATGTGAAGAGGTTTCTTCTGAATTCTGTACTATATTTCTGTTGTACAAGAGGAATCATTCGCTCTGTATCCACGCTAACAAAGTTTTTCATAATTTTAAAGACCATTATTTGGTCAGCCCGCAAGAGAAAAGAAATCCAGCTAGTCAATCCTTTCTTGAGATATGTACCCAACCATTTCTGATACCATCTTTCAAAACTCTCTATCACCCTCACCTACAACCTGGTTAGCTTGGAGATAACACAAATGAGAGCTGACTTGTCCCTTTGGTTAATCATGCCACTGCGTTAGTTAAAATGTTGTGTCAAACAAAGGGAAGCTTGTGTAAGGGTTGCAAAGTCAGCATGAGAGACATAACTAAGAGAACTACTTCATTATACTGCTCTGTTGCCCTCCATCATTTGAGATGTTACTAGTTTTTCTGACAATGTAAGGATGTGAATTATCTAGAAGAAGCTAATTTCTTTTCATTAAATGTATCATTTTGGATGTGCAACATCTAAATTTAAGTTTTTTTTGCCTCTTTGTGAAATGCTGTACAAATGTTTGTTTTGAAAGGTGTACCTCATTGTGGCTTTCGTGTGGAGGTGTCGAAGGGTGTAGTTCTTAATTTAATGGATGATACCTCAAGCTGGTTGCCTGGTGATCAGATAGTCATTGCCAGCACTGACTATTCTATGTATCAGGCTGAAAACTTTAACCTTCTTCCCTGCCCTGAATGCAAAGTTAATCAGGTTAAAATTGATGGTAAGAAATGTTTATTCACAAAGTTCTGTCTCTGCTTAAAAACCTGATAGGTGTGCTTTGCATGAGTGTGTTGGAATATTTTTGTTCAATATGGGTTTAAATTGCACAATATGTTAAAGTTTTAAATTAAAAATACCTGAGATGGAATCTGTTTGCTGTCCTGGGTATTTTTGCCAAGAAACTTCAAATTAACTAGTCTCTCTTTAATGACTGGAGGTGGTGAAAACACTATGCGAAGTTGGGTACAGTTTCAGTGGGACCTGTGTGCAGGAATGTGTGCAGGAAGTGCCTTTGGCTGCAGTTCTTGGAAGCTTGAGTTTCCAAACTGGGTGGTGGTGGCTGGGGACATTGCAGAGCATCCACAAGGCTGAGCGTACTGTGGATAGCACACTCAGGCAGCTGATTACTTTGTCGGCTGACTCCAAAGGCAGGGAGGGAATGGATGACTACCAAAAAGAGAACAAAAGAGAAGTACAGCACAGAATCAGGCCCTTTGGCCCTCCAAGCCTGTGCTGATCATCATGCCCTGACCAAACCTTCTGCCCTTATTTGGCCCATATCCCTCTATTCCCTCCCTATTCATGTAACCATCCAGATGCCTCTTAAATGTCGCCAACGTGCCTGCTTCCACCACCACCTCTGGCTGTGCGTTCCAGGCTCCTACCACTCTTTCGCTGCATGAAAAACTTCCCTTGCACATCTCTCTCAAACTTTTGCCCTCTCACCTTGAACCTGTTCCCCCTTGTAATTTAAACTTCAACCCTGGAAAAAAGCCTCTGACTATCCACCCTATCTATGCCTCTCATAATTTTGTAGACCTCTATCAGGTCCCCTCTCAGCCACTGTCTTTCCAGTGAAAATAATCCTAGTCATAACCACTGGCGTCAAGACCAGGCAACATCCTGGTGTACCTTCTCTGCACTTTCTCCAAAACTTCCACATCCTTCTGGTAATGTGGCAACCAAAACTGCACACAATAATCCAAATGTGGCCTAACAAGAGTTTTATATAGCTGCAACATGGTTTGCCAACTCTTGTTCTCCATGCCCCGGCCGATGAAGGCAAGCATGCCATATGCCTTCTTAATCACTTTGGCCACCATGTTGCCACTTTTAGGGAACCGTGCACCTGCACACCCAGATCTGTCTGTATGTTAATGTTCCTAAGCGTTCTGCCATTTACAGTATAATTCACACCTAAATTTGATCCTCCAAAATGCATCACCTTGCATTTGTCTGGATTAAACTCCATCTGCCATTTCTGTGCCCAAGTTGCCAATCTATCTATGTCCTGTTATATAGTTTCAGAATCATCGGCACTATCAGTAACTCCACCAATGTTCGTGTCATCTGCAAACTTACTAATCAGACCACCCACATTTTCCTCCAGATCATTTATATATACTACAAACAACAAAGAACCTAAGACTGATCCCTGTGGAACACCACTAGTTACCAGTCTCCATTCTGAAAAGCACCCTTCACCACCACTTGATCTTCTATGACCAAGCCAGTTTTGTATTCATCTAGCCAGCCCACGCTGAATCCATGTGATTTTAGTTTTTGTGCCAATCTGCCATTGTCAAATGATTTATTAAAGTCCATATAAACTACATCCACAGCCCTTTCCTCATCAATTATCTGTGTCACCTCTTCAAAAAATTTGATCAGGTTGGTGAGATATGACCTTTCCCGTACAAAACCATGCTGCCATTTTCTTCAAAATGTGCGTATATCTTGTCCCTCAGCATCTTCTCCAAGAGTTTCCCCATCACAGATGTCGGGTTTAACGGCATATAATTTTCTGGATCATCCCTGCTTTCTTTCTTAAACAACATTGGCTAATCTCCAGTCCTCTGGAACTTGCCCTGTTTTCAGAGATGATGTGAAGATATCTGCTAATGTCCCAGCTATTTCTTTCCTTGCCTCTCTCAGAAACCTGGGATGGATCCCATCTGGTCCTGTCTACCTTATTACAATTTAGGATATCCAAGACTTCCTCCTTCACGATATTGACATTCTCTAGAGTATTCACACATTCATCCCTGACCTCAACATCAGTCATATCCTTCTCCTTGGTGAATACTGATATAAAGTACTCATTAAGGATCTCTACTACTTCCTGTGTTTCCACATATAATTTCCCTCCTTTGTCCTTGAGTGGGCCTATTCTTTTCCTTGCTACCCTCTTTCTTCTAATATATGCATAAAAAGCCTTGGGATTCTCCTTGACCCCGTTTGCTTAAGACATTTCATGGCCCCTTTTAGCATTCTCAATTCTGTGTTTAAGTTCCTTCCTAATTTCTGTATACTCCTCAAAGACTTTGTCAGTTTGTAGAGTAAGGCAGAGTAAGTGGACTATGCAGGCACTGCAGGAGTGTCTCCTGTGGCCATTCCCTTGCAAAATAGATATAGCACATTGCATACTTTTGGAGGCAATGACCTTGTATAGATAGATTGTAGAATCCCTACAGTGCAGATAGAGGCCATTCGGACCATTGAGTCTGCACCAACCCTTCGAACAGCCAACTACCCAGACCTGCCCCCAACTCTTTCCTTGTAACCCTGCATTTCCCATGGCTAATCTACCTAGCCAACACATCCCTATGGGGTAGAGTAGCATGGCTAATGCACCTAACCTGCACATCTTTGGACTGTGGCAGGAAGCCCACGTGTACATGGGGAGAATGTGCAAACTCCACACAGGCAGTCACCTGAGGCTGGAATCGAACCTGGGTCCCTGGTGCTGTGTGGCAGCAGAGCTGGAAAGATGTATTAGATGAATGTGACTGGAGAGATGATGCAAGGGTTTCAGATTCCTGGGGCAATGGGACTGATTCTGGGGAAGGTGGGACCAGTACACACTGGATAGGTTCCACCTGGACAGGACTGGACAAGAGGGATTATTTGCTAGTGTGATTGGGGTGCATTTAAACTAAAATGGCATGGAGCTCAGAATCTAGACAGGTAGTTAAAAGAGGGAAACAAGGGCAAAAATTAAAGACAATGATAAATAGGAAAAGTGATAGTAGAGAATTCAAAGGCATAAATCAACAGGGCCATAAAAGAACAACAATGGGACTATGAATGTTAAAAAGGTGAACCTTGAGATCTTTGTGTCTTAATATATGGAGCATTCATGATGAAGTACACAAATTAGTCACAAAAATAGATATAAACAGATGTAACATAGTTGGAATTACAGGAATGTGGACACAGGGTGACCAGGGATGGGAACTGCATATCCAGGAAGGATATTTCAGGAAGGGCAGAAACAAGTAAAAGAAAGTGGGATAATGTTAGTTAAAGAAGATATTAATACAATAGAGAGGAAGGATATTTGTTCCAATGAAGTGAAATCTGTATGGGGAGAGCATGAATAATTTAGACGAAGGAACTAATTATAGCCTCTCCAAGTTGCAGATGACATAAGCTGGGTGGGAGGGTGAGCTGTGAGGAGGATGCAGAGATGCTTCAGTGTGATTTGGACAAGTTGAATGTGTGGACGAATATATGGCAGAGGTTATCCACTTTGGTAGCAAAAACAGGAAAGCAGATTATTTTCTGAATGACGATAGACTGGGAAAGGGGAGATGTAACAAGACCTGGGTGTCCATGGACACCAATTGCAGTAGGTTGCATGCTGATACAAGCAGGTGGTGAAGCAGGCAATGGTATTTCGGCTTTTATAGCGAGAAGATTTAAGTGCAGGAGCAGGCAAGTCTTGCTGCAATAGTACAGGGCCTTGGTGAGACCACACCTGGAGTATTGTATACAGTTTGGGTCTCCTTTACTTGGGAGGATGTACTGGCTATGGAGGGAGGGTTACCAGACTGATTTCTGGGTTGGCAGGACTGATGTATGAAGAGACTGATTGGTGAGGACAATATTCACTGGCGTTTAGAAGAATGATGGGGAAATCTAATACATACCTATAAAATTCTAACAAGATAAATCAGGGTAAAAATGGAAAGGATATTTGAGGTCCGGGGAATCCAGAACTGGGGTTCAAAGTCTAAGGACAAGGATAGGCCATTTAGAGGGATATGGGCCAAATGCAGGTAATTGGGACTAGTTCAGTTTAGGAAACCTGGTCGGCATGGATGAATTGGGCCGAAGGGTATGTTTTAGTACTGTATGGCTCTACAATCCAGAGAGTGTGAGCCTGTGGAATTTCCTGCCACAGAAAGCAGTTGTGGCCAAAACATTGAATATTTTCATGAAGGAGTTAGCTTTAGTTGTTCATCCATGATCATATTGAATGGCAGAGCAGACTTGAAGGGCTGAATGGCCTACTACTGGTTCTGTTTTATGTTTCTAAAACAATATTTTAATTTTTTCCCAAACATTATGTACCCCTTCAAAACTGGACAGGAGGTAAACTTCTTTTGATATGATTCTTGAGTTTGTTTTTCTCCATTTCAGGCTAGAGTTTAGGATATGAATGAATGGAAATATTGTGAAACATCAGGTGTACTGTGTTTCTATGGAGATGGTGGGGATATCACAGCTGAACGTCACGAATGATCAGTTTTGTAAAATATAAAAACATGAGAAATAGGAACAGGATGAAGCATTTGGCCTCAGACCTGCTGTGCCATTCAAACAGATCATGGCTGATGGTCCAACTCAACACCATTTCCCCCACTGTCCCCATATTCCTTGTGTCATTAATATCAATTTCTGTCTTGAATATGCTCAGTGACTGAGATTCCACAGCCCTCGGATAGAGAATTCCAAAGATTTGCTCCGTTCTAAGTGAACAAGTTCCTCTTTGTCTCAGTTTTAAATGGTTTGCCTCTTATTCTGAGACTGTATCTTCTAATTCTAATCTCACCAGCCAAGGGAAAACTGTGCACGTCTAGCCTGTCACACACTATTAAGATTTGGTAATTTTCAATGAGATCACTTCACATCCTTTGAAACCCTAGAGAGTACCATCCTAGTTTCTTCAATCTTTCCTCATAATAACAATCCCATCCACCCAGGGATTAATCTGGTGAACCTTTGTTGTACTCTTTCTCGTAGGCATATCCCTCCTCTGATAAGGAGATCAAAACTATTGACAATATTCCAGATGTAGTCTCACCAAGGCTCTATATAGGTACAACAAGGCATCTACATCCTGTAACAAAAACAGAAATTGCTGGAAAAGCTCAGCAGGCCTGATAGAATTTGTGGAGAGAAATCAGAGTTAATGTTTTGGGTTCAGCGACCCTTCAACAGAACTGATGGTAGCTAGGAAAATGTTAATTTTTTTTTTAATTCCTGTTATAAGTTGTAGACTGTTGAAAGCTAAGTTTGACATTTGTTGATCAGCACTTGTTGAGTTAATTTCTCTTATACTGCTAAGTTTTATAATACACTAGGGCCTCTCATGTAGGTTTTTATGCATCATTATCCTGTACACACCTTCCTCTATGATGAAGACTAACATATCATTTGACTTCATAATTTCTTACTAGTTTTTAGTGACAACATTTTGCAATGTCTACTCTCAGCAGTGGACTTTCTGCAACAGTTAGTTATCACAATGTGCCACGGAACTGGTACACAAATGGCTCCGTAGTCTCTGTACTAGTAAGATGATGACTCCAATAGGTGACTTGGCCCATAAAGGCTTTATTTCTACAGCACCGTCATGACCTCCGGAAGCCCCATATGCCTTACTTTGGAAATCTAGTCGATGTTATAACGTCAGTGTGTGCCAGACAGATTGTGACCGCAATCTCCCCCAGCAGCAGCCTGTTTTAGTTGTTGTTTAAGGGATAAATATTGACCAGAACACCTGGAGAACTCGCTCACCCTTCAAAAATATTTTTATTATACACCTCAGAGGGTCATCACAGACTTGGCTTTGCTTCACATCCAAACGACTCCGTTTCTGACAGTGCAACGTTCCCTCAGGCCTGCATTGATATGTCAGCCTGGATTATATTTTTAATTCCCTCAGTCTATTAGCAGCTGAAACTTCCTCTCTTGTATAAGCTGTAACTATGACATTACATATGTTTCCTCCTCTTTGCATTCTCAACTTTTCAACACAGCCATCTACAACTTTACCCTTATCTCCTCCTTTATCCCAAAGTTAAAATCAAGTCAAGTCTGCCCCACTGATTCTTGGAGCTTCCCATTATTGTTTAAAGTTGTAGACTATTGAAAGCTAAGTTTGACATTTGTTGATTAGCACTCGTTGAGTTAATTTCACTTTATACTATTATCGTACACTAGGGCCTCTCATGTAGGTTTTATCATCGCAGCAAATTGTGGCATTTAAAACACATGATCTGTTCATGTAGGTAAACCCCGTTATCTTCATATGGGTGAAGTTATTGACGGAATAGATATGCGAGCTGAAGTTGGACTTCTAAGTAGAAATATCCTTATAAAAGGAGAAATGGAGGACTCTTGTTATGGGCAAAACTTCTGCCACTTTTTCAGTCATGATACGTTTGGTGGACAAATAAGGGTAAGTGTTGCATAAAGTTGTAGCATGCATCGCTTGGTGCAAATTTATTGTATTTTTGGATTCAGTAACTTGCAAATTCAACACTTCAATAGTTGGCTACCACACTATTGTAGAAATGATTCATTCTTAAAATTAAATTGTGATCAAATGAATAAGATGTCATAATCCTTCACTTGTGTTGAGTAAATCAAGTAATTAAATATATCAAGGCTTCTTTCAGATTCTGGCTCTATATGGAGTTTATTGGCGATTCAAAGTAATTTATTGCAGGTGAGATTTATGGCATAAACGATGAGATTTTAATCACAGTTCCGTGCAGTAGGAGATCACTGCAAGTAATTGCTGTTGGTGACAATAGCAAGCCCACACTTAATGAGTTTGAACTACCTGCTTTTTGGTTTCTATTTCAACAAGCACTGAATTGTTCAAAACATAAATGAATACCTCCATGAAGAGTTTACTGAGAAATTTCAGACTAATTTGTTAAATATTTGTCACTATTATTGCCAGGAATGTTTTCTGTTTCTTTCTTAAATTACTACCCTAGATAATATCAGCATCAATAAGGCTGGTATTTTATTGCCTGCCTCAGGTTATCATTGAGAGTTCAGTGATGAACTTTCTTCCAGAACCATTTATGATGAAGTTGCTCCTTCGCCTCCAACTTGAAAATTGAGATTTTGATTCTGATGAAAGACTCTTTTTTTTGGAGGTGCAGTGTCTCTGCCACCCAGGCCAAAATTTCCTCCAACTTTGAATCTTTGGTGGTGGCCCCTGTGACTGCAGTTCACAGACTATTAAATGGCTATCGGCAGGGCTGCTATTAAGGATGGCAATCCACCTGAAACAATCAGCCTGTGAATTGTGGCCAATCCCTAGGACCACACCTGGAGAATGAGCATGTGTTGATTGATGTGTGACTGCAGAATGAGGTCTTGGGCACAAGGTCCAGCTGGCCCAGGCTCCAGCAAGGGGACAATTTGTGAAGGCAAATGATGCCAATACCACTGAGGTGTCCATTGATGCTGTCTATGAGCCAGACCATGCTGACAAAATGACTGCATGGCCCACATAGAGGCCTACTGAGAATTTATCTGATGATTCCCTGACCCCTGTGCCTAAGGGTCCCTTCCATTTGGTGGTACATTTCAGTAGAGGATGAAAAGAGGCCATTAATTGGCCACTTAAATGGCTCTTTTAGGCTACATGTTTAGGAGCCATCAGAAGATGGCAGAAATGGTCTTGCACCATTTTGACAGCCTTGTACAGTATCTGAGCCTGTCCCCAGATGCTCCATAATATTCTGCCAAAATATACAAATTGCAACAAAAAGAGATTTCCAATGGAACTTGGTGGTTTTGGTGTACCATTACACTTTATTTTTCATTCAGAGGAAGTGGGTTTTGATGGCTGGGCCAGCATTTAGTCCCCACCCACCGTTGCCATTGCGAAGGTGGTGGTGAGCTGCTTTGCCTGCTTGGTGGTGAACATCCTAGTTTGGGGAGGTGCAGTTGATGATCACTTGCAGCAGTGTGTCCTGTAGATAGTTTAGGGTGATGTTGCTTTAATTTCTCATGGAGGGTTCTCTTTGCAACCCTTGCCAGAAACCACTCCATCCAGAGAGATGACAGCAGGCTAAGGTGCATATCAAACTTTCATACGTTGGTGGAAGTCCTGCTCACCCCATGGCATTCTTTATTTTGCATGCAGTTTCTCAGCTTCTTCCTGTATACAGTCAATGAGCAGGTAGAGTTTGTATTGAACAGTAGAGTTTTGATGTTACATCCCAGGCACATACTGGTAACAGCTGAACAATTCCAAAATTGCATTCTACATAATACAGTTTACAGAAGCATTGAGATTTATTTGATCACATTAGTGCATTGACTGAGCCATGAATAAAATCCAGCAACTGCAGAACACGTTTCAAGGAATGGGAGACAAGAAGATGAATAGGTGGACTGGTATCAGTGGAACTGCCAGCATCCATAATCATACTGTATCCTGTTGGAAACTCAATGTATTGCAGTCAGTTCCAGCCTTTGAGACATAGACTATTTTAAATCTCTTAAAACCTGACCAAAAGTGAAGCTAATTAATTGTATGTTACTGTGTCTTGCTGAGACCAGGTATGAAGTGGTTCCTCCTGGCTAGAGTGCATGGGTGATTAACTTTTAAACTTATAAAGATGGATCATAGCGTAATTCTCCTTTTGGACATTGGGCAGAACTCCTCGTACCTGGAATGTTTCCACTCCAAGCCCCACACAGCATTTTGAAATTGCATGAACAGATGAATTTGAAACCGTGGTCTTGAAAGATCTTGTAAACATCTTGATGTGAATTCTTAAAGATTTGTTTCTCTGATGTGGTATGTAGAACCCTGATTTAAGTCTTCGATCTTGCCTCAGTAGATCCTACGAAACTTTGCCTCCGTTCACTTGTCTGGTGTGGAGTTAACAAACATGGGCCAGCAGATTCTTGGCAGTTATCCAGTCCACTTCCACCTGGCTGGAGATGTGGACCAGAAGGGTGGGTACAATCCACCAACCTACGTGGACAATGTAGCCATTCATCACTGTTTCTCCAGATGCGTTGCTATACATGGAACGAATGGCCTGTTGGTAAGTCAGACTGAACATTGAGTCCATCTTCTGTACAAGCTTTCACAGACTGAAACTACATGAACACCTCAGGTCAGAACACAGTGCAATAACATTCACTATCTCTGCTCGTGTCTGCTCATATAGGCTGCTTAGCAAAAACTGACTATCAAATGAATTCTTCGTTGTGATTTAACAAGGAAGACAGTGAGAGATGGTAATCCAGAGCCCTGGGCTCCTGTTGTGGAAACACTGATTTGAATCTCACTGCTGCAGTTGGTGGAATTTAAATTGTTAATTAATTGAATCTAGTGCCAGTGATGGTGATCATGAAACCCTCTTTGTTATCAAAACCTATCTGGTTCACTACCATATTTAACCTGCTAAATTTAACTGGTCTGGCCTACATGTGACTCCAGACTCACAGCAACGTGGTTGACTCTTAACTGCCCTTTGAAATAGCCCAGGAAGACTTTAAGTTCAAGAGCATTTAAGGATGGGCAACAAAGGATTGTCAGTGTTGTCCACATTCAATGAAAGTATAAATAAAAAATATTTATTTTGTCATATAAACATTAAATAGAGTTTTAAATAAAGGCAAGTCTTCACTTCCTTCTCCCAGTCATCATATATCCTCAATTTGCTGTCATTCCTAATATTGATTGTTACAGGGTTTGTTTAAATTGTTTAATTTTCTGTACTTAATGTACTGTCTCTAATTTATAATGAAATCTTGTGAATGATGTTTGAACTTTTGCTGCTTTACATTGTCCCACAAATGCCACAAAATCACCAGGTATTGTGTAACTGCTCAAATTTAATAAGTAATAGTTGGACAATGTAATCTTGATGATTACGATATTTTCTGTGCTTAATGTTTTAATATGCACTATTTCACGGTCATGATATCAATAACTTTATGTGGGTTTTTAAAGGGCTTGAATAAATTATTTTATCCTGTAAAATTTCTAGACTAGAATGACAAGATGCCTTCTGTTAAATTCAGACATTGATGTTTTTTTGTAGAATTAGGAGCAAGTATAGGTTGTTCAGTTCTTCACACCGTTATTTAATAAGATCATGGCTGCTCTGATTTAAACCTCAAATATGCATTGCACCTGCCCCTGACCACCTTATAACCCTTTGCCTCACTGTGCATCTCTCAGTGCTCCTCCAATCACAGGCTGGGCTCCCTGCATTTCAGAGACAATTGTAGGAGAGAATTGAGAAAACCTCTCAATTGTTCAAGGAGCAGCTCAGTGCTAAACCTTACAGTTTCACATACCTACATTTTGAATAATAGCTTGGAGGGGGTGGTGTTACGTAGGGCCCCTATTGTAATCTGCGGACCACCTGCTCTTGATGGTACATGCTGCTGTCACTGTGCCAAGACAGAATGTAGAAGGTGGTGGACATGGTACCAATCAAATGGACTGGTTTGCCCTGGATGATACTGAGCTTCTTGAGTCATCTTAGAGCTTACCCATCCAGGCAATGACCAAAGAAACAATCCCAGCCACATCACTACAATTCTGCATACCTGTAAGCATCCACATTAATCTTTCTTTATTTTCCTCTCTATTGCGACCTTACAATTAAGGATGGACTTTCTCCTCAAGTTCTCTATCTCTGACATTTTACAATACAAAGTGTTTCCTTTCCAGTGATTTCAATGGGAAAGGTATTTGTGAGAAGCACTGATTTTGCTAAAACTGTTTTGTGTTCTACTGTTCAAATCAAGCTCTTTTGCTGCTTATACTTGTTAGGTTTGACAGTGCACAATGTAAGTCCGGAGTTCAGAATAGTGCCAAACCTGGCTTTCTGTATGGGGAGCCAGACATTTTGTAACTTTATGTTAACTTTAGAGAAAAGGGATTTCCCTCCCCCTCTCTCTAGTCAATACTTCTACCTTATGGGAGATTGCTCATTCTGTTCATCAGTAGACCAATCTTCACATCTTCCATTTTAAACAGGGCAGTTTTGTTTTGCTCATTGATGGGTTGTGGCATTGCTGGCTAGGCTAACATTTACTGGCCATCCCTAATTGTGCAGAGAGTATTAGGAGTCATTGCTGTGGGTGTGGAGAATCATGTGGGCCAGTCCAGGTAAGGTAAGGACATTGGTCAATCAAATCCATTTTTTATGACGATTGACAGTGATTGCCATTAGGCCAGCTTTTTATTCCAGATTAATGTATTTAGCTTCTGCCTGACTGGACTCTGATCTACTTGTAGTGATGTGAACAGTCTAATCATTTCTTCCTGCAGGTAAAAGACACTATAGGCTATGATACATTGGGCCACTGTTTCTTCCTGGAGGATGGAGTGGAACAGCGAAATATACTGTATCACAACCTGGGCCTCCTTACTAAGCCAGGCACTATCCTCCCTTCAGACCGCAATGCGATCATGTGCGTCACAATCCGCGATCAAGTTTATGGAAATTACATTCCTGTGCCAAGCACTGACTGCATGTAAGTTAAACACCACAAGCTGGAATCTCCTCTGTTGATGTAAGCCTAGAAGTTGGATCTGAAAATGTGACCATGGTCCCAATGCCAAGTCTTGCTTATGTTTTCTATCAGTTTCACAAGGTTATGCCCAAGTGCAAAATGAGTTTAAATCTTCATAAACAGCCTGGGACCATAGGAAAATGACAAAATCGCAGTGTAAGTTTCTCCTCTTTAATTATGAGGATTAATGTTTCAACTTATTCCTGCCAGTCTGGCTCAGCTGACCTAAGATGCTGCAATCAGGGAAACATGATGGTAATGTGAACATAACTGATGAATCTTAAGAAACAGTTAACACTGAGCAGACCTCAGTGAGGACAAATCCTTACCATTTCCACACAGCACTCTTTGACTGCTTTTGGCAGCCCAGTTTCTCCAGGCCCAGGAAACCTGGTCGATCTACATTATATTTAAAGTGGTGATAAAAGTTGGAGAGACAGCCTCAGGAAAATATCAAAGTGAACTATCTTCTTTTCGGTTTCATGACCCAGCTCCTATTAAAACCAGAAGTGGGTAGGTTTGATATTGGTTGGGTTTGGGTTGAAGATTGTTTTAAAATTCCTACATCCAACCAATCCATCACCTGGAGCATCGCTCAAAGTAGTTAATGACGGGATGTTTCGATGGAACCAGAGTAAGTGGGAACGATGTTGGTTTAACCTTTTATTTGGGGTTTGAGTACTAGCCTCAGTTTGTCTGAATGTGATGCTTGAACCTATAATGTACTGACCCATTGACAAGAGACTGAGATTAACACCATCACAGTAACTATTGAGGGAGAAAGTAATGACAGTTACACTGTTTCTCAAATTTCATATCAGATAGTTGACTCATTACATAAAACATGCTAATATTAATAAAAATGGGGGTACATTCAGTTATCGGAACCTCCTGATGCTTCAAGTGCATGTACGTATAATCTTGCACATGTAAGAAATGCCTTTGTTTTGTTTGTTGTATAGAGTCAAACTCCAATGTTTTTTTGTTCTTCATATGCTACTGTACAGAACTGGACTACTTCATTGACTATCTATGTATATATTTTTATGAATAAAGTATATTTTTGAAATAAAAACTACTTAATAATGGAACAAACATTAGTTTCAGTTTGGTGTCTGCTGAATTTGTAAAATAACCAACACAGTGGATATCTGGAACTAGGATAATAAAGTTTAGAATACCTGGTATCAGTATCCCAATGTTAAAGCAAAACCATGGCATTTAAATAGCACCTTATTACATTTCTGAACTGTCTAAATGCTTCGTGTGTATATACCAAAGTTATCCAATCAATTAAATACATTGCACTGAGGAGGGATTTTGGGTCTCTTCTAAACTTGCCTGCCTCACTTATTCAAGTGCAAAACTCTCTCTCACCAGTTTGATTGCTCCAAATCTCCTGTTCAGAAGAATCCAGTTCTATCCCATTACTATTGAGCCCACTAAACTGGAATATTAATTTTTCAGGGCTGTCACAACATTCTGGATTTCCAATCCAAACAACCATCTTATCAACAATGCAGCTGCTGGGGCTCAGGTAAGAAGCGTTTAATTGACTTTGCAAACACTTTTTAAATATCAAGCTTGAAATCTGTGTTTGAGCTTCAAATTTGTTCTTCCCTCTTTCTTTGGTCTTGCCTATATGTGGACTCCATGACCCTTAAAATAAAGATTTTAATTTTCTGACCTGGTAGCTAGTCATGGCAACATGACCTGGGTGTAGTCTGCCATATGTATGTTGGCAAATCTCTGGCAGACTAATCGTTTTTGTCAAAAAACCCAACCATCAAACACACAGGAGTGTTGATATACAGAGGGATCACGAGGTCCAAGTCCATAGCTCCCCAACGCAAATGGTAAAGAAGGTATATGCATGCTAGTCTTCGCGTTTGGGGCATGAGTATAAAAGTTGACCAGTCGTGTTGCAGCTATTTAAGATTTTACAGTGTGCTGTACAGTTCTGGTCGCCGCACTTTAGGAAGCTTTGGAGAGGGTACATAAGGGGTTTACCAGAATGTTGCCTGGATTTGAGTGTATTAGCTGTAAGGAAAGATTGGACAAACCTAAATTGTTTTTGCTATAGCGTTGGAGGCTGAAGGGTGAGCTGATAGAAGTATATCAAATTGAATGGCGTGGATAGGGTTTTTTTGTTTCAAAGGTGGAAAATGTCAAATATTAGAGGACATAGGTTTAAGGTGAGAGGGGAAAGTTGAAAATGAGGTATGTGAGGCATGCTCTTTTACACAAAAGGGTGGCAGGAACCTGGAATGCGCTGCCAGGGGAGGTGATAGAAACAGATACGTTAGCAATGTTTAAGAGGCATTTAGACAGACATGTGAACAGAAAGGGAACATGTAGGCAGATAGGATTAGTTTACAATAGCATCATGGTCATCACGGACACGGGCCAAAAGGCCTGAACCTGTGCTGTATTGTTCTACTGTGTGCTAATTTATTCCAAAATCTAATTATATTTGTAGTAAATTTTAGCAAAATTCCTTGCAACATACAAAGTCACAATACACCAGCTAAGTTAATTGTTCAGATTGGAATACTCTCAAACTTGTCCATCCCCAATTTAAAAGAGGCCCACTCTCCAAGTGTGGCTCCCTTTTGTCAGCTCAGACTAAACTCGATTGTGTTATGTTGTTTAGTTGGATCAGAAGAATCAAAAATTCCAATAGGCTAACTCACTGAAAATTCCAAACAGTACACGCCATTCTGTTAATTCTTTTCCCCATCCCATTGTTTGTTTGTGCACTTAACCTGTAGAGAGTCATGACTGTTTGGTGATGGCACCTGTTTTCTAATGTGATATTTGGCTACATTCTGAGTTCCGGATTTCTCCCTTCCAAGTTTGTGAGCTGACAGGAGAAATATTCTCATCACAGCAGAGTAGATTTTCAATCCAGTTTAGAACTTGATATAATAAAAGAAAGAACAAGGCATGCTAGAGGTCTGAAACAAAAACAGAAATTGCTTGAGAAATTCAGCATGTTTGGCAGCATCTGCGGAGAGAAAAGTAGAGTTAACGTTTCGAGTCCAGTGACCCTTCTTCAGGTAGGAAAAGGTGATATTTATGGTGATGAAGAGAGGTTGGGAGGAAAAGGAGTGAGCAGAAAGGTGGAGCAGAGCCCAGAAAGAGAGAGAAAAAAGATTGGGCAGACAAAAAGTTTGTGGATAGTAAGCCAGGAAAGAAGCGAAGGTAGTTAGGTAGTTATGTGAAAATGGTTTGGCTGTGCTGGAATAACCCATGTCATGACAGCACCGGGGGGTGTAGTGGTGGGTGCTTGATGTGGAGGGGGGTGTTTGTGCTCCAAAATTTAAACTCCATGTTGAGTCCTGAAGGCTGTAAGGTCCCCAAGTAGAAGATGAGTCATACAGTCATACAGCATGGAAACAGACCCTTCAGCCCAACTAATCCATGTCAACCATGTTCCCAAACTAAACTAGTCCCACTTGCCAGCACTTGGCCCATATCGCTCCAAACCGTTCCTATTCATGTACTTATCCAAATGTCTTTTAAACATTGTAATTGTACCCGCATCCACCACTTCCTCAGAGTTTATTCCACACACAAACCTTTCTGTGTTTACGAAAAGTTGCCCCTAATGTCCTTTCTCCTCTCACCTTAAAAAGTATGCCCACTAGTTTTGACCTCTCTCACCTTGGGGGAAAAGATCTTCACTATTTACCCTATCCATGCCCCTCGTGATTTTATAAACCTCTATAAGGTCACTCCTCAACCGCCTACGCTGCAGTGATAAAAGTCCCAGCCTATTCAGCCCTTTTTTTTATATAACTCCCAACGCTCCATTCCCAGCAACATCCTGGTAAATCTCTTCTGAACCCTCTCCAATTTAATAAATCCTTTCTATAGCAGGGTGAACTGCTCACAGTATTCCAGAAGAGGCCTTACCAATGTCCTGTACAATCTTAATATGACATCCCAGCTTCTATACTCAAAGGTCTGAGCAATGAAGGCAGGCATGCTAAATGCCTTCTTGACTACAAAGAATTATGTAACTGAATCCCTAGGTCTCCCTGTTCTACACCACTATCCAGGGCCCTACCATTAATTGTATAAGCCCTGCTGTTGTGTGTTTTGGTAAAACAAACATGAGGTGGTGTTCTTCCAGCTTGCTGGAACACTGCTACAAGCTTGAGACAGAAATGTTGGCATGGGAACATATGTTGAAGTGGCAGGCAACTTGTTATAATGTCATCAATTTGAATGGTGATCACAAATAAAAGTCAAAGGGGTGAATGTACCTTTCGGTCCGTTTACCAGCCAACTGTGAAAATGACCCTAAAGTGTCGAAGTGAATATTTTCTATTTTGAAGGAGAGAGAAATAATTAATCTGCAATTAAACGCGCATATTTTATTGAATTAAAACAGCTCTTGAATCCCACCATCAGGCAGACATGAGCTGATGACTGTCAGTTTAGAGGACTTTGATTTGAAGCCTCTATTGGTTAACCACAAAAGGTAATAGCACGAGACAATCAAAGGACATCCAAGGAAAAAAAAAATTGAGCCTATAATGGCAAGTGGGCATCCATTCAGGAAAAGTCTGGTCTGGAAAGAGTCTGATCATGCCAACCTGTGAAACTGAGAATTCATGTGATTTACAGACTGGCATCAGAAAAATGACCCTTAAAGCTAACAGGCATCAACCCAACCAGTGTCCTTCAGGGAAGGAAGACCAGTGTCCTGACCTGGCCTGGCCCAGCCTGTCCTGGTTTGCACTCAGCAGGAATTAACCTCTGAATCTATTTAAACCACTTTGCACACCCCCCACAGGATACCATTAAAGAGAAAGGTCAGCTTAATAACCCCATATTGAAATGATGCTGCAGAATTCAGATCCCCTGTGACCAATATCCTGGTAGATTGTTTGAACAAACCTCCATTGACTGACTACTTTTTTAATATTGCTTGTTTCTTCATAGGATGTGGGGATTTGGTTTATCTTCCATCGAGCTCCTACTGGACAATCTGTTGGTCAATACCCAGAGGGTCAGTCTGAATTTACCCCACTGGGGGTATTTTATAACAACAGGGTGCATTCCAATTTCAAGGTGTGTAAAAATTCCACCACACAAGTACAATCATGACTTTTTATTTAATGCTGTCTATATTATTTGTGTCATTTTAAAGAAAGTAGAATATAGTTATACAGTTAATATAAAGCTATGGATTTATGTTGTTCTACATACAAATGCAAGCACTAGATGCGGGGCCGCGTGGTGGCTCAGTGGTTAGCTCTGCTGCCTCATAGCACCAGCGATCCAGGTGTGATTCCACCCTCAGTTGACTGTGCAAACTCCACACAGTCATTCTCCCCATGCCTGCGAGAGTTGCCACTGGGTGCTCTTGTTTCATTCCACAGTCCAAAGATGTGCAGGTCAGGTGGATTGGCCATGCTAAATTCCTCTGTAGTGTCCAGGGATGTGCAGACGAGGAACGTTAGCTATGGGAAATGCAGGGTTACAGGCATAGGATAGGGGTGGGGGGTCTGGGTGCAATGCCCTTTTGGAGGGTTGATGTGGGCTCTATGGGCCAAATGGCCTGCTTCCACACCGTAGGAATTCTGTGATTCTATTGGTGACTGAATACATGAATCACAGAAGTTCGTAAACACCATGGATCTCTGAAATATATTCTGAAATTCCGGCATTTCCCAGAATTATCAGACAAGCTCTCCCTTAATTTAGTCACAAACACAACCACAAAAATCCCTTCTTAAGTGCAAACTCTCAATAATTTGCTTGTTTGCTTGAAGTCCATTTGATTTCTTGGCTATTCAAATCTATTGTGTCACCCCCACTTAATTTAAGCAATTATAATGATTGCAGTGAGCAAACAGAAAAATATTGAGCAATCAAATCTTTCTTGCACTGCCAAAACTACGTTCAAAAAACAGCATGTACTGCAAAAAAGCTGCTGAGTTTATTCATGTTATATCTTTAAACGACCTTCCTACAACCAGTGTGCATGGCTAAAAACATAAACAGAGGACAGACCATGAAAGGAAACCAAACCATGTGCTTGGCTACTTGAGGTGGAATCTACTGTTGATTGTTTGTTTATTTTGGAAGTCAAGCCCCTAACCCCATGTGGGTCTGTAGTACACACTGGAGTGATGTAGCTGCTGGCCCAGTGAGAAATTCCACAGCTTTGGGAAGCCAGCAGGCCCCACCAGGAAAACAGGCATTGGTCAAGAGCAACAAGAGAAGGTTCTTAGAATGAAGATGCCTAACATTTCACCAATGAGATGGTGTTGAGCAGATAGGCTCCCTCAGAGTGGGCCCTCTGGAGAGTTAGTTGGGGCTGTACCCATGACCTTTTTGACATTCCGGTCTGTCATTGACCATCGAGCCATTGACAGCATTGATGTCCCTCTTGCCTCAGCAATCTCCACAGAGCTACCAGGCTCACCAGCTCACCAGCAGGCGTGCCCTCCGATACCAGGGAGATTCCAGTGATTTCCTCCCCAGCTGTACCCTCATCTCTGGGCTCATCATCAGTGGCTACCCACCCTTTGGCTCTGTCATACTGGCAATATCCAGCCCTCTGTGTTGGAAATGTTCACTCATGGAAATGACTTGCGTTGTATTATGGGAATGTTCTGTATTGTTTACCTCTTAAGCTTTTGTGCTCTTCCTCCCCACATCTAACTAATTGACTGTGATGTACCAACCAGTTACCAGTACCCCATGCTTTGTGCTAAAACTCCTGAGCAATATTCACTTCTATCGCTATTGGATTGGTGTTTCAAAATTCCGCATTCATTAAACTCCCTCATTAAATCTTTGAGCTGAAATAAAGTGCTTTTTGATTTAAGTGTGGAATCAAGGAAAATTTTTTACACAAGGCCCTCATTAGTGATCTCAATAAAGTTACCCTCTTCACCCCTCATTGCTCGTTTGTCAGTTTTATGAGAGGTGGAGTAATGAGTTGAGTTTAAAGTGAAGCAATGTTTGACACTTTTTGACTGGTCCACCATCCTTTAATCATATCTTTGATTTTGCTGAATCTAACTGTTGGAATTGCCCATTCCAAACCCCCACGTTGAGCAGGAAAACTAACATTGTGAATTAACATTTAATACACATTTAGAAATCCAGAAAGTAAATTAGAACCAAGAAACAGCAAATCGTTGTTCAGATCATGTGAAAAACTGAGGTGGAACAAACACTTGCAGGAAGAAAAGTTGAAAGAGTTTTTCACCTCAAGAGGACGACAGGAAAATTGCAAAGAAGGGATTGAGAATGAAGGAATCAGTTCATTTTAGAATAAAGGTGAAAACAACTTAACTGGATCTGAGGGAGAACTGTAGAGTTGGAGTGTGGAAGAACTTCAATACAATGATGATTTCATTCACTCACTGGAGCATCTTCCTCCTTCAATAAAAAAAAAACAACAAAATCCCAAAGGGTGGAGGTAAAATGCAGAATCGCTAATTCCACCCGACATTGTCATTTTGTGTCCTGTCTTTGTATAATTTGTAGTCAGGTTCTGGTATCGATCAAGGAGAATTGTAATTTTGTAATGTTTTGAGCAATCCTTCTCGACTGGTTGAGTTCTACTTTCCTTTATCTCCCAGGCTGGACTTTTTATTGGCAGTGGAGTGAAGACAACTGAGTCCAATGCCGAAGATCCCAGGGAGGTTCTTACTGTTGACTTTGCAAGGTATAACAATGTATTATTTTAGGACATTCAAATCGACTTATTTATTTTTGAATTAAACTCATTTATATTTTACATTCTCCAATCTTTTGTTCTATTCGAGCTATTTGCTTTAACATTACTGGTTTAAATAAGTGGAAATGGGATCCCTTTGAAGAGGTGATAGTTTGAGGGTAATTGAGGTACTTTACCACAAGGAGAGGAAGGGCAATGAAAGCCAGTGCTCCCTGGATGATGATAGAGTTTGAGCACAGTGAAGCAGAGAAATGGGACATATGTATGACTTTGACTCTGTGTATCGAGGATCAGCCTGATAATAAAAGAGAATCAGTCTGAATACAAAAAGTACAGAGAAGTGACAAAGCTATTGAAAGCAGCAAGGAGACAATGAGCTATTGTAAGAGAGAATCCATGTCTTCTGTGGGAGCATGATTAGTAAAAGCGTTTCAGAAGAGCAGTGGAACAGGTTAGGAATAAAATGCAGATCCGTTGGTGGAGACAGACATCTTGACTCTGGCACTAAATACCTGCCTTGCATGAGATTTTAAAAGGGATGACAAACTTGCTGAATATATAATAAGTGGGGAAGTTATCAATAATTCTCACGACAGGAACAAAAGAGATAAAAGTAGGGTACTAGGAACGCTGTCAGTCGATAAGTCAACCTGGTTAGGTGAGACGCTGAAGATTCTAAGCAAAGTGAAGGAGGATATTGTTGAGGTATTGACTACAACTTTGCACTCCTCCTTATACAGGGTGGTACCAGCAGAGCGGACTGTGGAAAGTAAAATATTCAAAGAGAAATCTAGGCCAGACAGTCTAACGTGAAAAGCTTTTAGTACATAGTATTTGGGGGGATATTAACAATCACTAGAAACAGAAATCAACTAGTAAAGGAGAACCAGCATGATTTATTTAGGAAACTTGTGTGTGATCAACTTGATTGATGCGATGTAATGTGAGATTTATATATGCTAGAATATCATTTGTTTTTGAGTTTTGATTTTTGAGTATGATCTATTGGTAAATGGAGTTTTTTTAAAATTATATTCATTAACGGGATGAAGGTGTCACTGGCTAAGCAGCATTTATTGCTCATCCCTAATTGCCCAGAGGACAGTTCCGAGTCAACCACATTACTGTGGAACTGGAGTCACCATGTAGGCTAAACCAGATAATAACAGCAGTTTCCTTCCCTAAAGAACATTAGTGAACCAGATGGGTTTTTCCAACAATGGATTCATGGTATTCAGACTCCTAATTCCAGATTTTTATTGAATTCAAATTTCATCTGCAGTCTTTGGATTTGAACTTGGTCCCCAGAACATTACCTGGGTCTCTGGATTAACAGTCTGGTGATATTATACTATTATAACTAGTGCCACTAGGCTGTTGCTGCCCTTTCTGTGTGTCTGAAGGTGTATTTCTGTAACCATGGTCACCCTCGCTGAGTACTTTTATATTCCAGATTTTTTAATTCTATCAGCTGCTGTGGTGGGATTTGAATTTATGTCCCAGAGCATTGGTTCATTATGCCACTTTCTCCCATAAAATACATAGCAATAAATAAATACAGTGAAATTGTGAGGAGTCTGTATTGGATAACCCAAAACTGCATTTGTGTAGAGGATTTCAACCATTCCCACTGACAGAAAATGAATCTGATTGAAGGATATCTGGGGTAAATTGAGGGTCAGATTAGCATGTGCAAACTTGTCATGTGATCACACCAACCAAATGGAGGACGGTCAGGTCACACTGCAGCTCAGACTTGTAGAGAAATCATCAGTCACTATCCCTGAGAGCGTGCAGGTACGTCGAGGCCATTGATAAGAGGCAGGAGAACAACCAATTGTTTTCAAGGCCACCTTAATGTAGAAGGCATTAGATGAGGATATTGGAATCCACAATCCCCTACTGCTTCCACCACAATGAGTTCAAATGGGCTGTGCCTTCACAGGACACCTAGAAGGAGCAGAGTGAGACTGACCAGCCTGGCAGGGGGATGTCCCTATTTCCTCATATATAGGAGCCCAGCATTGGAATTCCAGTAGAAACAAATGTGGACGTCTTCATTAAGTTGGTCCACACCATGCACTACACAATTGAGCTGACAGATGAGGCATTCGTAGCTATGTGACTGAGGAGCCTAAGCAGGCCGATGACCTTTGAAGACTCTGATGAATACTCACTTACTCTCTCACCTGTCTGTTTCCCCAGCCAGAACTATAAAGGCCGTAGAGACGTTCCAGGACTTTACCTGGCTGTTTGAAAACACAAAGATGTTTGTAACTATGTCATGATGGACTGTGTCATAATCATCTAAAAACAGCAGCTGAACAGCAAAAGATTACTTACGAGTTTCTTACTTAAGAGTGAACTCTTTAAAATGCCTATTACTACAAGATCAGCCCATTGCAAGTTGCAAATAAATTACAAAATAAAGACATCTTTCACATTTATTGTGTCACTGCATTTTCATTTGGTTTTATTGACATTGAGCATGTGTTTGTAGACCAAATTGACGTACACGTGCACCTCCTCAGTGATCTTGAATGTCCACATTACATGAAATTGTGGGCGATTTCCCCAGGATTCAACTTATTGTGATTCTACTGTAATGGTCAAAGTTCACTGCTAAATTCTCAATGCATTTGTATCTAACTACATTTACATTAATACATGTACCTGGACAATCATAGTTTCCTGGGCACTTTGACATTTTGAATAATAACTAGAAAGTTGTTTTATCCATGTGGTTGTTTTAATTTACAAATGTGACGTACTGCTTATTGTTTCAGGATATGACTGTCTATTTTCATTGGAGCTGTCTTTACAACATGCCATTTGCAGCGAAATGAATCAATTTCACCTCTCCTTCAACCAGCCCTTTCAATAGTGTAACATCTAGCGCACCTCAAAATGCATCTCATTTCACTGGTCACTTTATCTGAGAGGCTGCAGCACTAACATTAGGTGTTTGGTAAATTAATTTGATGGAAATACTCTGACCAGAAACACTTATTTAAAGAAAATTCTTGTGTTTTATTTATGACCCTACCTATTTTTCTGAACTGTGTCCAACTGATAACAGATGATTAATGATTGGCCAGTGCTTAAAGCTGTCATAACTAACCTTCTGTTCCTGCTGAGTCTTGGCTTCTGATGATTATTAAGTACTTAGGGCCTGAGTTCCTGTCTGTCTTGATGACAGAAGCATCTGTTTCCAACACGGGATTTCTTGTATGGCCACGACAGGACAAACCATCTGTTTTTGTATCTTTGACATAGGTTTCGCCCACATCAGAACGCTGACCCGAGAAAGCCACGGGTTCCTGCTATTATTGCTGGCCTCGTATCCTTCAAAAATAATGACCATGGAGCTTGGGCTAGAGGAGGAGACATTATATTCCGCAACTCTGGGTATGTGTGTTTGTAAAAATTTAACAAGCTAGATATGCAGCAGTGCTGAATGTATTATATTGCTAGTTGTGAAAAATGTACAACACTGAGGAACACAATGCTGTGCTGGTTATTGGAGACACCTGGTTGTATGTAATCCAGGATAGTGACCACATTCTTTTACACTTCTCCAGGTTCTCTGACAATGGAATTGGCCTGACTCTCGCAAGGTAAATTTCTTTGGAGATTTCTCTTCTTCACTCAATGATCTTCTTTCTAAATTGAATCCTTTTTAGTTTGAAGTCAGAACCTTTGGCTTGCTGAAAAAAGAAAATGGCACTGGACTGGTAGTTGAGGTGGCTGTGAGGAGCACTTTTTATTGATGCAAGACAGAAATTGCTGAAGAAACTCAGCAAATCTGGTAGTATCTGTGGAAAGAAAACAGAGTTGGTGTTTCGAGTCCAGTGAGCCACCTTCAGCATTAGCACTGGTGATAGTGACCACAACACCATACAATTAAAGCTCCTTATGAAAAAGGAAAGTGATGGTCTAAAAAAATGGGTTTTGGATTGAGGGAAGGTAGATTTTATTAAATTAAGGCAGGGTCTGGCCAAAGTAGACTGAGAACAACTACTTGAGGGTAAATATACAGCGGGAGGTTTTCAAAAAGGTCCTAAGGAGATGTACGTGCCCAACGTGCTTGCTTTAGGGTGAAATGTAGGAGCAACAATCCCAGAGAACCCTCAATGTCTAGGAATACTCAGGACTAGATAAAAAAAGATTAAGGCCTTTAACATGTACAAGGGGAGCAAATCAATGGAGGCCCGCGTGGATTATGGAAAGTACAGGGGGATCTTAAGAAAGACATGAAAACGTTGGGTAAAATTATGGAGAGTTCGAAGATAGTCTGGAAGCATGTCAAATGGAAGAGGATAACCAAAGAAAGTGTAGGGCCCATTAGGGATCAAGGGAAATATCTCTGTGGGGAGCCAGAGGACATTGGTAATTTGTTAAACAATACTTCATGTCTGTCTTTGGTTGGGAGAAAGAGCTGTAGGTGCAGAATTTGGGAACTATGTTGTTCTTGAATGGTTTGACATAGGGAGTGAGGAAGTTTTGGGTGGCTTGAAAATGGACAATCCCCAGTTCAGATGAATTGTATCCCAGGCAGCTGTGAGAGGCAAGGAAGGAAATTACAGCAGCTTTGACCCAAATTGTTAATTCCTATCTGACCAGAGAGGAGGTGCCAGAGGACTGGAGGACAGCTAATGTGGTTCTATTTTTCAAGAAGGGTGATAGTGATAGACCAGGGGATTACAGACCAGTGAGTCTGACATCAGTGATAGGGAAACTATTGGACAAAATGTGGAAGGGAAGAGTTAATCCTCACTTGGAGAGACAAAGTTTAATCAGTGATTCTCAGCATGGCTTTGTCAGAGGGAGGTCATCTCTAACAAATTTGAAATTTTTTTTGAGGAGGTGACCAGGTAGATGAGGGTAGTAAGGCTTTTGACAAGGTCTTACTTGGGAGACTGAAAGAAGGTAAAAGCGCGTGGGATACAGGGTAAATTGGTAAGTTGGATCCAACTTGGCTTAGTGACTGGAGATAGAGGCTGGTGGGAGAAGGCAGTTTGTGTGACTGGAGCCCAGCATGCAGTGGTGAACCACAGGGATCAGTGCTGGATCACTAATTGTTTATAATATTCATAAAAGATGTCGATGAGAATGTGGGGCGATAAGAAGTTTGCAGATGACATGAAGATTGGCCAGTGGTTGACAGTGTAGAGTAAAGTATTATGTTACAGAAGGACATAGATGGATTGGATAGAAGGGCAGATCAGTGGCAGATGGAATTTACTCCTGAAAAATGTGATGTGATGCACTTTGGAAGAAGGAACAAGACAAGGGAATACTTGGTGAATGGCAGGACACTAGGAAGCTCAGGGATATTGGGATGCTTGGCCACTGATCCCTGAAAATGGCAGGGTAGTTTAATAGGGTAATTAGAAATGTATATGGAATGCTTACCTTTATTAGTCATGGCATATAGTATAAAACAGGGAGGTCATGTTGGAGCTGGACAGAATTTTAGTCAGGCCACAGCTGGATTACTATATGTAATTCTGGTGACCATACAATGGGAAGAATGAGATTGTACTGAATTGCAGAGGGGGTGTTGTATGGGATGGAGTATTTCAGCTCTGAGGAGAGGCTGCATAAGCTTGGGTTGTTTTCTTTAGGGCAGAGCACGTTAAGGGGGGACCTGATAGAGGTGTATAAGATTATGAGGGGCATTGGCAGGGTACAGCTGTTCCCATTAGTTGAAGAGTCAATAATAAAGGGCCATAATTTTTAAGTGAAAGGCAGGAGGTTTAGGGAGGAATTGAGGAAAAGATTTTCCACCTGAAATGTGGTGGGGGTTTGAAATACACTGCCTGGGAGGATAGTTGAGGTGGGAAACCTCACAACCTTTAAAAAGCACTTGGACAAGCACTTGAAGTATCATAATATTAAAGGCTATGGGCGAAGTGCTGAAAAGCGGGGTTAGTGTAGATTTAGATTACTTTTGGTGCAGACTTAATGGGTTGAAGGACCTCCTCTGCACTATGATTCTACGAAAACTTTTAAAATATTTATCAACTGATTTCCCACAACTTTTCATGGACAATGGCTTTCCTTCATGAATTAGTTTAGAGGCTTGGCGTCAGTTAGACCAGGTTGCAGAGCTGTCATTCGATCCCATTATAAAACCACAATTTCTGCAATTATTTTACACTTTTTTATAATGGAACCTATGTTACCTGGTCCCTATGAGACAATGTGCTATCTCAAACGATGGCACTGGAGGTTGTAATCCCCATGTGACAATGGTATTTCATCATGAACGTGAACAGGAATTTCTGAGGGAATGATTTGGCAAAGTGCACAAGTCTACAATTTTAATATTTTAGAAATAACCAAAATATATTTAGCATATAATTGATAAACATTGTCAATATTCAAAACTGACAATTGTTGGACATTTCATGATTTTTTTTGCCAAGTGAAAACATCTTGCCAAGTCACAAAGACCCTGCAGGATTTACGAATATATCCCTACTTAAGTTTATTGAAGTGCATAAAAATACAGGACAATTGAAAACATTCTCTCGCTATCCTGTGTGGTCCCTTTATGTGTGCTTATAGGTGTTTCTGTCACTCTTTCTGATTCCCTCGTTCTCTCCTTTTTCTTTCTCTTTTTTTTTTTCTAGCCTGCTCTCTTTCTCTGCCTCAATATTGTATAGTGTCAGCCTAGATGCTGTGTGCAAGTCAGGGAGTGTGTAACTTAGTAGTGATGACATTTTCTTTTTAATAGAGCTTATTTATGAGCAGAGAATTGGATGTTGTTATTTGGCTGGTTGTAATGGAAAAGGGGAACAGTGAAAAGTGGGTAGGTATAAAAGCTAGTTATTAGAAGACAGTGGGAAGCTTTTGTAGCCAATGTTTCTGGATTTCTAGCAAAATGATAAATCTAAAATCTATAAATAAATCTAATTTGGCAAATTAGGGCCTCAAAGCTTAACTATTCTAAACGTAAGTTAATTGCATGCTATCGGGATACACTCCATCCATCTTACAGATTGCCTTGCTTAATAATTGTAATGTTAATGAAGATGTTGATGTAAGGGTGTGCTTAATGTTGAATTTATTGTCATGGTAACAGGATGCTCTTGGGTACAGAAAATGAACATTAGTGGGTTTTGTTTGCCCATTTTGCACTTTCTTCATTTTATGTAACAGACAACAACAGTCGTGATAACAGGTGACACTGCTGCTTCTGAGAATAAATACAAAGCTATTTTATACCTTGCTCTATCTTGTTACAGGTGACTCAGAACAGTGCTGATTCTAATACATTCAGTTAGCTTTCTCATAAGTGGAATAAACCCAGCCTTCCAACAGCAATTGAACAGGACATGAAATTATTAGCATGCCCACAATTTCTCAAGTTACACTCCCGAATGGCAAGGCTTCCCGCAGAAAGCATACATTTGTCAAAACAACCGTATGATTTATTGTTGCTTTTGTATTTTCAAGCACTTCCCATACACAGTAGGGGTGGTATCGTGGCTCAGTGGTTAGCACTACTGCCTCAGCGCAGGGTACCCAGGTTTGATTTTACTCTTGGGTGACTGTTCTCTCAGTGTCTGCTTGGGTTTCTGCCGGGTGCTCCGGTTTCCTCCCACAGTCCAAATATGTGCAGGTTAAGTGGATTGGCCATGCTAAATTACCCTGCAGTGTCCATGGATATGCAGGCTTGGGGGGTTAGCCATCGTAAATGTGGAGTTACAAGAATAGCTTGGGGTGAGCTGGGTCTGGGTAGGATGCTCTTTGAAAGGTCATTGTGGAATTGATAGGCTGAATGGCCTCTCTCCACACAGCAGGAATTCTATGAAATTGTGTTAGGTAATGGAAGGATCTGCAAGCTGATTAATGGCTCCTTCCACGCCTACAATCTTTCTATCAGTCGACAATCCTTTAGAGTGGGAAGGTGCTCTGGGCTCCCAATAATCATGGTGAGCTGGAGGGGGTCTAACCAAACACACAGATTGTATTTATTTCGTTCTGGTTTCCACTCACTGGGACTGTCAGAAGTGTGCTGATAACCCCGCACCTTCTGACTGAGAAGCAGCTGTATCATCACTAAGACAAAAATATGTTTTATCCCCATGGTGTTACTGGATCTATGTGCTGTAAGATAAAATTGTCTGATCTCACCACTTATCTGGTCACAATTTAATCTTTACAGATTTCAGCACGAACATGTTATTCATTGTTTTTCTGAAAAAACAAGGGTGTTTCAGACTTGTATGGTGATGCCTGAGCAGTTTCTCTTGGCTATCTGCAGATGAAGTTATCTCTTCTAACAACGCAGCTCAGCTTTCAGATCCATCATACAATGAATGACCTCAGCACAAATCTCTGCAAACACTGAACTTACTCAAGCTTTCTTTTATTCCAGTTGATACTGCCATTTGATTAAAGCCAATAATAGCAAAGATTGTTAACTGCTAAAGTCCTTTTGTTTCCATAGTGATGGAACTTTTCCAACTGATGAGGGGTCCAGCTTGGAAGTGACAAAATCGATCTTTGTTGGTGAAAGTATTAATGTTGGCTGTAATGGAGGACAGAACAGATACTGGGGCAAGGGAGCACATGGGGAGTACAGGACCCTACCAAGAAACAGGTAGAATATGTGGCGACCAACTTTTTAAAAACACTTTATATGTACATGTACTTCTTAAAGGATTGATTGCTAACTAAAGCTGCTAGATATATTGGACCTAAGTAAAATTTGTGCTTTCCAGAACTTTCCCTATCCGTGGATTCCAGATCTATGATGGTCCGGTCAGAATTACTCAGTGCACGTTTAAGAACTACATGTCTGTCCATGAGCGGTACTCCAGCGCACTTGCATTTTTTATGAGAAACTCCTGGCAAATCAGCCCCCAAAACAATGTGTCTCAAGTCAAGTTGGAGTGGAATGTAAGTCCGAAAGTAACTTTTGTACATTCTCAAACGTTGGCAGAAAGCATTCTGAGCTCCCTGAAAGTGGCCATGCAAGTAGATAGTGGTAAAGAAAGCATATGGCATGTTAAATGAAGAATATGGAAGCTTTGGAGAGGGCGCAGAAGAAGTTTACCAGGATGCTGCCTGTATTAGACAGTATGAGCTATAATGAGAGGCTAGAAAAACTAGGGTTGTTTTCACCAGAGTAGCAAAGGCTGAAGGGAGACTTAACAGAAGTTTATAACATTATGAGATGCATAGATAGGGTTGACAGTCAGAATCTTTTTCCCAGAGTTGTAATGTCTAATACTAGGGGGCATGCATTTAAGGTGAGAGGGGGAAAATTCAAAGGAGATGAGGGGCAAGCTTTTTACAGTGATAGGTGTCTAGAATGTGCTGCCAGGTGTGGTGGTGGAAGCAGATACAATAGGGTTGTTTAAGGAGCTTTTAGATAAGCACATGAATATGCAAGGAATGGAGGGACATGGAATAAGGGCTGGCAGAAGGGAATAGTTTAATTTGGCATTGTGTTCAGAATGACATTGTGGGCTGAAGGGCCTATTCCTGCTGCATGTCAAGAATGGAGAGTGTTGGCAGTTGAGTGATGGGCTATGGGTCATTGAGGTTATGAAGCAGATAGGTCTGTTGGTGACAGATGGTATTTGACCACCCCTTTGGGGTCATAGAGCTTTTGTACACTGCATCCTGCTCCTCCGGTTTGACTTCTGTTGACTATGAAGGTTACCAGACCCAACTACAATTTGGGTGTCAGTCCCATGTGCTCCAAGCATTAACATATCTCTCCACCTCTACTCTCTCATGACTCATCTAGTTTACTGTCAGAAAACGTTGGAGACACTCTGTCAAGTTGATCTTGATCTGTTTCGTCTGTTTCCCAGATCCAAATTAGTTGTAGAATGAATTTCAGTAGTTGCTTCAGCCAGAAGGCACCTCCCCTTTAAATATTGCCAACTTCTTTTAGTGAATGCCATTCGTGCAGCAGGCTAATCCTGTGACACATTACCTGTGCCAGCTTTTAGGGGATTATCCAATTTAGCCCCATCCATGTTACATTTCTTTATCTGACCCTTTGGTAATTTGAAAGACCTCTCAGTTTTCTAATTTGTTGTGGAGATGAGTTATCTGCAGTTTAACTTTGGAATATCATTTATCTATATCTTGGATTTTTGGAGAGGATAGTTTGCAAAGGAAGCTGGCTACTGCACAGAATATATTGTGTTTTGCAAAAGACGCGAGCTGCTGGACTCAAGACGCCAAGACTGCAGAGCTTCCAGACTTCCATTTTGTGGATATAATAAGCTATTCGATTTGAACAGGGAGACAGCTAGATAACTTGACTGAGGGATTAGCCTCTGCCCCTCTCTGCTTTCTTTTTAACTCCTCTCATTAAAGATTGAGAGTTGAAAACCTACTAGAAGGTCTTCTCCCATCAAGTGAAGGATTGGGGGAAATCTTAATTACCCAAGTGTTTGAAAATGTGGATCCAGAATCTACTACAATTGTCTCCAGGTTAAAAAAACTTCAGTCAGCCATAACTGATCCAGGAAGACATCCCTGTGCCAATTGCTTGTATGCAAAGTGACTTTGACTACAGGCCAGCATTTGGGCAATTTGTGATTTTTTTTTTTTTTTGAATTTTAATGTTTTTTTGTGAAAATTTTTTTTTTTATTTAGTTTAAACATTTTATCAATAATGTTTATATCTTTGCTTGAGTAACTTTAGTTTACAATAAACTTGATCTTTGTGTTATTTGAGGAATGTGGCTGACTCAATTTTGATACTGAGCCATATATAGTATAACATGCATACAGAATATATAGATATGTGTGTGTATATTCTGAAATGACTGGCAATATAACCTTTCCTTCTAAAATCCAACTTTGTTTGGCCCAGTAGAGAAATGGGACAAGGAAAGGCATTCATCCTTCAGAACACGATTGTAGCACTTCTCCATAGTAAAGAATGCCAGCCTTGTTATTGGACTGAGCACAGTTTCATCTCAGCCGCTGTGCCCACTGCTTTCCTGTTTTCTGTCCTTCCGTACAGGTTAACCTTGAGGTATTCTTTGGAAAACCAGGACAGTGGTTTGGAACAAACAGTCTTGATGGTGACCAGACATCAATATTCCATGATTTGGATGGTTCAATGACAGGGTATCCTGACACGTTTGTAGCTAGGGCTGACAACTACCTGGTTCGCCATTCAGGATGCCTCAGTGTGCCCAGGTGGAATGGAGTGATCTGCAGTGGCAAGTATGCCCAGGTGAAATTTCCAGTTCAGAAAAACAAATGTTTATAGCTTTCTGAATGTTTGCAACTCTTGATAGCCATCTCACTGGGGACAGATTGGACTGTTTGAGGCTGACTTTGATTTGCTGTGGTTACTGAACAAGTGGTGAGCCTTGGGCTATGGAACAATGTGAAGGAAGAAGTACAGTCATTTATATATCCTCTTTCACAGCCTCAGCACGTCCCAAAACACTTGCCTTGGTGGTAGGATGTAATTAGAACATGGCTGGCGAAGTCTGTTACTTGTCTTTAATTGGACATACAAGTATTAAGTGGGGCTTCATTTATTTCCCGATAAATTGACACAGACTGAAACTGATTGTTGGGTTAGGAAATGCATGCATGTAGCGTGTGTCTCTGCAAATAAATGCTTTAGAAAAGTGTATAAAGACTGGCTCGAGTTCTATCCTTCGCTAAGCGATATTGTGGACTATAACAGTGAGTGCCACATGAGCAGTCAAAGGCAGCTTATTGGAATGGGAAGACAGAAATACAGCAACTTCAATGCTGAACAGCCAGTCATGGATGTGACAGCGAGGAAGAGAGGATTGTTAGGAGTGAGGATGGGAGGGCAATAGCATGGCGTAGAGAAGGATGTGCAGACCACTTGGAGTTTTTTTTTGTGGCTTCTGTATGACTGTTCTGAGGGGAGTCAGTGGCATAGTTGTAATGTCATTACACTGCTAATCCTGAATCCCAGGTTCTGGGGTCATGGGTTCAAATCTGACCGTTGCAGATGACAAAATTTAAATTCAATAGGTTATAAAGCGGAGTTTGACCCCACCCCACCCCCCTCTGAGAACTAAAACTATAATACTCAGAGGTGCACCTTGCCCTATAATCTGTTAAAAAGAGTGTGAAAAGTGGTATAACCTGCTTCTCAGCAACTTCTAGCGGTTAAACAAAACAAGTCCCTGATACTCACTCAACAATCAACAAGTAACAATTGTTCATTGTTCGAGTTGGATAAATAAAATTAGCTAAAGTATTAACAAATTGAATAAACCCCTTTTAACTACTAACTATTCCTGACTAAAACAAGATTCTAATGGTATGCCATTCCAATAAATACAAGCCCCACTTATATAAAATTTAAAAAAAGACACCGCCTTTAGTCTCTCAAAATTACAGCCAGATTGTATCTTCTGGAATGCTCTGTGCTTCTCCGTCAAATGTTCTGTCAGGAACACTTTCTCTGTTGAATTCGTCTGTCAGGGATATTAACTACTTGTGCAATAGGAACCTTTGACTTAGATGGTGCTTTCTCCAGAACTTAGAGAAAGACTGTGAGAACTAACGATTCTATCTTGAGCTGAGAGCTGTTAACTCTGGCAGATGGCAGTTAATTCTCCTGATTTTCCAACTGCCCTCTCCTTTATCACCTTTGATAACATATCAATTTATAACAATAGGATTGGTCCTATAATGTCCAAACCATCAGATTGATTTTTGGTATCTAAGTGCCTGATTCAAATTGATTGGCTAAAATCAAAATTTGTTGTTTTGATAACAAAAACCTGCAGCTTTGCATGCTAATTATACAGCTTTTTGATACAAATGTTTCCGTTCGAGGGCTCTCTGTACACCTGCAAACCCACAAGCTGCTGCCCACACACCTTTTGTTTAAATGTCTATGCTTATAGACAAAGCACATCATCTTTAAAGGGGCCATGCACTACTATTCGCCCCCCAGCATTTTACAAACACCAAATTCTAACATCCTGCTTTCCAATCCACAAATACTGTACCCAACTTTACAACAAATGAAAATTTGGAATAAATAGCTGGCCGAATGGTAATTGTGTATCCACTGTAAAGTATCATTTAAAAAAAATACAAGTGCTTCACTAATGTCCTTTAGAGAGGGAAATCAGCTATTATTACCTGGTCTGGTCTACATGTGACTTCAGACCCGCAGCATTGTGGGTGACCCTTAAATGCCCTCTAGGCAATTAGGGATGGGTAATTAAAAGTGGCGTAGCCAGAGAGGTCCAAATCCTGTTAATGAATTAAAAAAAAACTCTTGTTTGTTCCAACTCCTTAAAAAAAAATAAAGAAATATAGACTTGGCCATTTTTGGAGCAACCTGCAGGTTGGGCTTCTCCACATGAGGGACAAAGCTACGGTGAATGTATGACATTGACCTTGGTGACAGATCCAAGAAAATCATATTTGTCTTATGCTGTAATCATTTAAGTAAATAAAGTGCTAGAAGCCAACTCAGGGCCTAGTCAAAGATCACAACAGGTAGGCCTCTGTCCAGTTAGTAGGATGTAAAGACTCATCGATTTTCATAGCATTGCCAGACTGCTCTTGCCAGCAAATGACTGACAAAATCAGCTTGTATTTATCAATCTGGGCTAAAACTAGGTACATTTACAATTGTATCAGAGATAGTAGGAACTGCAGATGCTGGAGAATCTGCGATAACAAGGTATAGAGCTGGATGAACACAGCAGGCCAAACAGCATCAGAGGAGCAGGAAGGCTGATGTTTCGGGCCTAGACCCTTCTTCAGAAATGGGGGAGGGGAAGGGGGTTCTGAAATAAATAGGGAGAGAGGGGGAGGCGGATAGAAGATAGATAGAGGAGAAGATAGGTGGAGAGGAGACAGACAGGTCAAAGAGGCGGGAATGGAGCCAGTAAAGGTGAGTGTAGGTGGGGAGTTAGGGAGGGGATA